TGTTTCTCGCCCGACCCGGGCATTGGTACTGCTGCTCTAGGTGCCAGCGAGGCTTCTGCTCTAGGTGCAGTGCGTCTGTGCTCTCAGGTACTGGTGAGGCTGCTCCCTCAGGTACTAGTGAGTCTGCGCTCTCAGGTACTGCGTCGGCTTCGGCCTCCCACACCTTCACCCTTGACTCTGGAGCGTCTCGCTCCTTCTTTCGGGACCGCACCACACTCACGCCGCTTAGTCGGCCGGTTGCGGTGTCCCTGGCTGACCCCTCTGGGGGTCCTGTCCTGTCTCGCTTCTCCACAGTCCTCCCGTGTCTGGCGGCTCCCTCTGGCACCCTGTCTGGTCTCTACCTCCCGTCGTTCTCTACGAACTTGGTGAGTGGTGCTGACCTACAGGATGCGAAGTCCACCAGTTCACCCCTGCTCATCAGCGGGTGACGCACTGCACAGAGGCGAGCACAGGTCGCCACCTGGCTACGTTTACACGTCAGCCAGGATCGAGCCTGTACACACTGACCATTGCTTCTCCTCTAGTTCCTGAGTCTGGTAGGGTCCCTTTGTCAGGTCAGGTGTTTGCTGCAGCGTCCAGGTCTGGTCCTGAGTCTGCCCCCTGTTCGTGTCGTCGCCTGTCTCACGAGACTCTCCTCTGGCACCACCGCCTGGGTCACCCCTCTCTGCTTCGGCTCAAAGGCATGGCCTCCCGTCTTCTTGTGTCTGGTCTTCCCCGGTCCCTCCCTCCCCTTCCTCAGGGCCCTGGCCCTGCCTGTGTCCCCTGTGTCGAGGGGCGCCAGCGTGCTGCCCCTCACTCCTCTCAGTTTCCTCCGACAGAGGCTCCGTTGCAGACGCTTCACATGGACGTGTGGGGCCCTGCCCGCGTCCGTGGACTCGGTCACGAGCGCTACTTCCTGTTGGTGGTTGACGACTACTCGCGTTACACCACAGTCTTCCCCTTGCGCAGCAAGGGTGATGTCACTGAGGTGCTGATCGACTGGATCCGCGCAGCTCGTCTCCAGCTCAGGCAGAGCTTTGGCTCAAACTTTCCTGTGTTGCGTCTGCACTCGGACAGAGGCGGAGAGTTCTCCTCTGGCCTTCTGCGTGCCTACTGTCGTGCGCGAGGCATCCGTCAGACCTTCACGCTTCCGGACTCACCACAGCAAAATGGGATTACTGAGCGCCGCATTGGCATGGTCATGGACGTCGCTCGTACGTCTATGATGCATGCGGCTGCCCCCCATTTTCTGTGGCCGTTTGCGGTCAGGTACGCGGCGCATCAGATCAACCTCCACCCCAGGGTCTCCAGGCCGGAGACCTCCCCAGCCCTGCTGTGGACGGGGAAGGTTGGGGATGCGTCGGCGTTCCGGGTCTGGGGATCTCGGGCGTTTGTCCGCGACTTGTCTACGGACAAGCTGTCCCCTCGTGCTGCTCCCTGCGTCTTCCTGGGGTTCCCCCCCGACGCCCCTGGGTGGCAGTTCTACCACCCCACCTCTCGCCGTGTTCTGTCCTCCCAGGACGTCACGTGCGACGAGTCGGTACCCTACTACCGCCTCTTCCCCTACCGCACTCCGTTCCTCCCCCCACCCCCGCTCTTCTTGGTACCAGGTCCCCCCCTGGTTGACCCCCTTCCCCCTCAGGGTCCTGCCCCGTTAGGTGTGTCCCAGGTAGACGCGGTCGAGCCTGTCGAGGTCACTGGTGACTCAGGTGCTGCTGAGGGTGCTGAGCCTAGGGGTGCTGTGACTGGGGGTGCTGTGCGTGGGGGTGCTGAGCCTGGGGGTGCGGAGCCTGGGGGTGCGGAGCCTGGGGGTGCTGAGCCTGGGAGTGCTGAGCCTGGGGGTGCTGAGCCTAGGGGTGCTGAGTCTGGGGGTGCTGAGCCTGGGGGTGCTCAGCCTGGGGGTACTGAGCCTTGGGGTGCTGAGCCTCGGGGTGTTGCGCCTGGGGGTGCTGAGACTGGAGGTGCTACGCCTGGAGGTGCTTTGCCTGGGGGTGCTGAGCCTGGGGTTTCTCTGGGTGCTTCGTCTCGCCGAGAGCCACTCTCCCCACAGGAGCTGCGTGAGTGGTTTGCCCGGCGCTGGAGGCGTGCTGCTGGTGCTGGAGGTTCTTCGGCTGCTGAGGGTGCTGCTGCCGCGGGTCCCGGAGGTGCTCGTACTGGGAGTACTGGAGCTGCTGGGTCTGCAGGTTCGACTGGAGCTGGTGCTGCTGAGGGTGTTGGCGCTGAGACTACCACTGGCGGTCCGACTGGCGGTGCTCCTGGTGCTGCTGGAGGTTCTACTGCTGCTGGGGGCTCTGGAGCTATTGAAGGTGCTGTTGGTGGTGCTGCTGGAGGTGGTCCTCCTGGTGGAGGTACTGGTACTGTTCCTGCTGTTTCTGGCGTCGCCACGCGGCCCCGACCGTACTTCGTCCCTCTCCTACAGCAGGTTCTCGGTCCTCCTCCTCCTCCCTTCGAGGGTCCACAGCCTGTCCAGTCACAGCCACAGCTACAGCCTGCCTCCCCTTTGCTTGCTCCTTCTCCCTACGCTGGTCCGACTGGAGGTCATACTGAGCGTCGTGAGCCTGCATCTCGTACTGCGTTGCCTGTTCGTGCTGCACGCACTAGTGGTCGCAGTTCACGTCAGCGTCCTCCTCCTGTCCCTAGCACGCACCGGATGTCTCTGCATCCGTCTACTGCTCCTCTGCGTGCCCCTTTGCCTTCTCCTCCTGCTTCCTCTCTTCCTGCTCTTGCCGACCCGGAGTCGGACTCTCTTCGTGCAGCCAGTCCTACTGTCACGCGTCTCCTTGCTACTGCCGTCACTGACCCTTCTTTCGAGTCTACTACTGCGTCTGCCCTTGTTACTGAGCTCGTCGACTTTGGTGCTCGCTGTCGTCTAGACTACGCTGCTAGTCTTGTCGCTGAGTCTGAGTCTGCCTGTCCTCCGTCCGTCGGGGGTGAGTGTGCCCTTGGCACGGACGTCCTTGAGGACATGCAGGAGGAGTTCCAGTGTCTGGCCGCTGCTTCACCTCATCTTGTGTCCGTACTGCTTACCCCTAAGGGAGACCCGTATGCACTTGACATCCCTACTCCGCGCTCTTACGCGGAGGCGATAGAGGGTCCCTACTCCTCTCAGTGGCAGGCAGCTATGGATGCAGAGATGGCTTCCTGGAAGTCCACAGGCACCTACGTTGACGCTGTCCCCCCTCCTGGGGCGAACATCGTCAGTGGCATGTTGATCTTCAGGGTGAAGCGTCCACCGGGTTCTCCGCCTGTCTTCAAGGCGCGTTACGTGGCTCGTGGCTTCAGTCAGCGGCAAGGAGTTGACTACTTTCAGACCTTCTCCCCCACCCCAAAGATGACCACTCTTCGGGTACTGCTGCACGTTGCTGCTCACCGTGACTACGAGCTGCACTCTCTAGACTTCAGCACTGCTTTCTTGCAGGGCGGCCTGCACGAGGAGATCTGGCTGCGCCGCCCACCTGGCTTCACTGGGTCTTTCCCTCCTGGTACCCAGTGGAGTCCCCGGCGTCCACTCTACGGTCTCCGCCAGGCGCCGCGTGAGTGGCACGACACACTGAGGACTACGCTGGCGGCACTTGGGTTTGCTCCTTCCACTGCAGACCTTCGCTGTTTCTGCGCACCGACACCTCTCTGCCGCCGTTCTACATCCTTGTGTACGTCGATGACTTGGTCTTTGCCACAGCTGACATTGCTGGACTCGCCTACGTGAAGTCCGAGCTGCAGAAGAGACACACGTGCACTTACCTGGGTGAACTGCACAGCTACCTTGGCTTGCAGATCACCCGGGACAGAGCACGCCGCACCATTACCCTGACTCAGTCACACATGGTGCAGCAGGTCCTTCAGCGCTTCGGCTTCACGTACTCCTTGCCTCAGGCCACTCCTCTGCCTACTCGCCACTCGCTCTCAGCTCTGCCTTCGGATGAGTCCGTAGAGTCGAGTGGCCCGTATCCAGAGCTTGTTGGCTGCCTCATGTACCTGATGACCTGCACTCGACCTGACCTTGCATACCCTCTTAGCATTCTCGCACGCTTTGTTGCTCCTAGGAGACACCGACCAGAGCACATGGCTGCAGCGAAGAGGGTGTTGCGCTAGTTGTGCAGTACGTCGGGCATGGGGCTAGCGCTTGGAGGGCGGAGTCCAGTGGTCCTCACTGGGCACGCGGACGCTTCTTGGGCTGACGACCAGGCTACGCAGCGGTCGTCACAGGGTTACACCTTCAGCCTCGGTTCCGGCTCTGTTTCGTGGCAGGCTACCCGCTCGTCTTCTGTTCTCGGCTCCACTTGTGAGGCTGAGATCAACGCCGGGGCTATGGCTGCCCAGGGGCTTCGCTGGCTCACCTACCTGCTGACCGACCTTGGAGAGTCTCCTCGTTCTCCTCCAGTCCTGTACGTAGACAACAAGGCCATGCTGGCCTTGTGTCGAGAGCAGCGACTGGAGCACAGGACAAAGCACATTGCTCTCTGCTACTTTCTTGCTCGTGAGCTACAGCAGCGTGGACAGTTGCGACTTGCATACGTAGCCTCTGAGGCCAACACTGCTGATGTCTTCACCAAGGCACTTGCGCCTTGTGATAACAAGCGCTTCTGCACGCAGCTGGGTCTTGTGCCTGTCTTGCCTCACTTGCTCACTTCTTGACCTTGCTTGTACTTTCACACATATATACTCTTGCTCTTGCTTGCTTAGACTCTTGTATATCTATATATGTGATCTTGCATGTGAACTGGCCTTCTGGCCTTTGAACTTGTGCTCGGAATGAGTGGTGACTTTGTGATCCACCCTGAGCTTTGCTTTGCTTTGCTTGACTGGTCTTGTGACCCCTTGTTCTCCCCCACTTTGCCTATGGGGGTGTGTCAGAACATTATAGCTTACTTATTTGTGTAGGCTATAGTGGGGTATCCCATAGGGGGTACAACCCAATTAGGGTTTCCTATTTGTACTCACTTCGTTCATAGTCATTTCATTCTCGTTCACTTCTTCTCACGTTGTTGCTGCTAGCGCGGACCACCACCGGAGCCACTCCTCTACGCAGAGCCGCGACCAGCTCCACCGCTGCCTCCGCCGCCTCCGCCACCTCTGCCGCCTCCGCCACCTCCGCCGCCTCCGCTCCCTCCGCCACCATCGCCACCTCCTCCGCCTCCACTGCTGCCACCGACACCTCCACCCCCGCCACCACTCCCACCACCACCCCCACCCCCTCCACTGCCTCCACCACCACCTCCACCGCCCCCACCAGCCCCTCCAACGCCTTTGCCCCCCTTGCCCTTGCCGGTGCGGCGTTTCCCGCTAGGGGCAGACGCAACGCCGACCGACTCGAAGCCAACGAGGTCGGCCGCAGCAGCAGAAGAAACAGAGGGCAAGAGGGGGGAGGGAGAACACCCCTCAAAGACGGGGGTGCGAGGGTCACCACGAGAGGCTCCTACAGCGACTATGCTCTTCTCTGCTGCTAGGAGGCGCTCCTCGAGGAGGTCAACAGTGAGTGTGGTGGGGCAAACTGAGAGGAAGTGGTCCTTGACTAAGCAAAGGGAGTCAGGGAGCCGGGTGACTATGTAGTAGAGGGTGATGTACATGGGGGGGGGGGTTCTTGGCACAGAACTCAGCAGGAAGTGCAGCTCGGTACTGAGTCTCACTAGTGCGAAGGTGCGTAATGAGGTCAGCGACTGTGTGAAAGGCAGCAAGGTTAGGGAACAGGTACAGTAGCATGAGGCGGCTAAGAGCAGCAGTGGCAGGGGAAGAGTAGCGTGCAACTACAACGTCGTACAAGGTCTTAGCACTCTTGTACTGGCTAAAGTGCGCATGCTCAGTGGTCGGTAAGTGGCGACGCACAGCAAGACGTGCAGCAGCATCGCGCGTGGCCCACTGTGAGCGAACAGTGCTGTCAGCAGTAGCAAGCGGGGCAGGAGAGACACCAGAGGTGAGATCGAATAGGGAGAGCCCGTTTGCCCTATCGCACTGTAAGAACAGCTGGAGGTCATCGACCCAGACCTCAAAGTCAACAGCACGACCCTCAGTATCAAAGGTAAGGACACTGGGGGTAGCCATGACTGCAGTGGCCTAGCAGGGAGGGAGCTCACCAGTCCAAGGGAGTAGGGCCAGGGCGCGCCGGTAGGAACAGTAGCCGCTCGACGGCAAGGCGGCTCGGCGGCTCGGCTGCTGGGCGGCACGGCGGCTCGGGTGTTGGGCGGCTCGGCAGCTGGGCTGCTCGGCTGCTCGGTCGCTGGGTGGCGCGGCGGCTCGGCTGTCGGGCGCCTCGTCTGCTGGGCGGCTGGCGGTGTGGTGGCTCGGCTGCTCAGCTGCTGGGCGGCTCAGCGGTGAAGGGGCCGGTAGAGGCGGCGACGGGGCCGCGAAGAGCGGCGACGGGGCCGTTAAGGGCGGCGACGGGGCTGCTAGGGTCAGCGACGGGGCCGTTAGGGTCGGCGACGGGGCCGCTAAGGGCGGCGAGATGGCCGCGAAGGGCGGCGACGGGGCCTCCAAGGGCGGCGACGGGGCCGCTAGGGGCGGCGACAGGGCCGTAGAGGGGCCGTAAGGGGACTAGAGGGGGCGGCGACGGGGCCGCAAGGGGCGGCGACGGGGCCGCGAAGGGGCCGAGAGGGGCCTGGAGGGGCGGCGACGGGGCCTAGAGAGGCGGCGACGGGGCCGCGAGGGGCCTAGAGGGGCGGCGAAGGGGCCGCGAGGGGCCTAGAGGGGCGGCGACAGGGCCGCTAGGGGCGGCATCGGGCCGCAAAGGGGCTGCGACAGGCCTAGAGGGGCGGCGACGGGGCTTAGAGCGGCGACGACGGGGCCGTGAGAGGAGCCGTGAGGGGCCGCGAAAGGGGGCCGCGAGGGGCCTGAGGAGGGCGCGACGGGCCGCTAAGGGCTAGGGACGCGACGGGAGGGAGGGCACACGGGGCGCGACTCGGGCAGGAGGGAAGCGCGCTCCAGGCAAGATTTTTTTTCTTTTCTTTTCTTTTTTTTTTTTTAGTGGTGGGCCCTAGGAAACGTTCCCACTAGGGAATCTGCTCCGATAACATATGAAAGAACGAGGAAGATTGCATTGAGCAGCATGACGAGTACAAGTAGGAAACCCTAAAGTGTTGTACCCCATATGAGCTACCCCACTACAGCCTACACAGACTATAGCATTTAAGTTTGACAATTCCTCCTTCCAAAAGAAGCCAACGTGCTGACAGATTCAAGAAATGAAGGCTTACAAAATTAGCAGCGGGCCCAGTAGTGCCGGATGCAATCCCTCACTTGAAAACCAGAAAAAAATCCTACCTTAGCATAGGCTGGTTTTTTCTACGGGAATAATAAGAGATCATCCTCAATGTTATTAGGGCCTGGTGGGCGACGGACATACAGTACACGTAGACCAGAACATACTAGACCAAACCGTCCTAGTAGCGTTAGTGTTCATTGATGTCGTCGCCAAAGGCTCTTACTTGTGTGCGCGTATGCAGTCGTCCGCATCTAGTAGTCGCAGACAGATGCAGACTGCGCAATGGGAAAGCTGCGGAACGTCAAGTATCAACGTGGCTAGTTGTCCGCGCATGTGATGTGCGGCGGGGGATAAGCTACGCTCATCCCAAAACATTTGGCCGGGGGGTTGGGGTACCAAACTATGGAGTGGGGACTTCGTACGCACGTTTGTCGTGGGTGTTGGGTATGGTGTACGTAGATGCATAATAGGCGGCCACCCTAGAACGAACTATGCTTGCCGAATCTATAGTGCATTACGGTCGGATGAATGTACATCGAAAGAGGTGACTACTACGTACATGCTTTGCCTTGCGAGCAAGTTCAGATTGTTCGAGCCTACATTGTCGGTGGGGTTCCAAACCTACAATAACCCTACCAGGCCTGTACTTCATTGTCCGAATATTCAGTGTAATAACTAACAAATACAATCTTTTTTGCGTCAACAGCCCATTTCTAAGCCAGGAGAATACCACAAAGCATAATAAATAGATGCGAAAACGTATCACTCGCACCAAGACAGCAGCTGACGCGAATTTTGGGGCAACGTAAGCCATAAAAATGTGAAATTGAACGAGAATGAAATGACCAAGGGAAAGTCGGGTAAAAGTGCAAACCCTAGAAAGCTGTACCCCATATGTGCTACCCCACTATAGCCTACACCAGCTAAGTCGTATAAATCTGACACACCCCCATAGGCAAAGTGGGGGAGAACAAGGGGTCACAAGACCAGTCAAGCAAAGCAAAGCAAGCTCAGGGTGGATCACAACGTCACCACACATTCCGAGCACAAGTTCAAGGCCACAAGGCCAGTTCACATGCAGGATTACATATATATATATAAGGCTAAACAAGCAAGAGCAGGAGTATATATATATACATGAAACAGTATAAACAAGGTCAAGGGGTGAGCAAGTGAGGCAAGGTAGGCACAAGACCTAGCTGAGTACAGAAGCGCTGATGATCACAAGGCGCAAGTGCCTTGGTGAAGATATCAGCAGTGTTGGCCTGAGAGGCCACGTACGCAAGGCGTAGCTGACCACGCTGCTGTAGCTCACGAGCAAGGAAGTAGCGAAGAGCAATGTGCTTCGTTCTGTGCTCCAGTCTCTGCTCCCGACACAAGGCCAGCATGGCCTTGTTGTCTACGTACAGCACTGGAGGAGAAAGAGGCGGCTCTCCGAGGTCAGTCAGCAGGTAGGTGAGCCAGCGAAGCTCCTGTGCAGCCATGGCCCCTGCGTAGATCTCAGCCTCACAACTGGAGCTGATAACAAAAGACGAGCGGGTAGCCCGCCACGAAACAGAGCCGGAACCAAGGCTGAAGGTGTAACCCTGTGACGACCACTGCGTAGCCTGGTCGCCAGCCCAAGAAGCGTCTGCATGCCCAGTGAGGACCACTGGACTCTGCCCTCCAAGCACAAGCCCCATGCCCGACGTACTACACAAGTAGCACAACACCCTCTTCGCTGCACCCATGTGCTCCGGTCTGTGTCTCCCAGGAGCAACATAGCGTGCGAGAATGCTAAGAGGGTATGCAAGGTCAGGTCGTGTGCAGGTCATCAGGTACATGAGGCAGCCAACAAGCTCTGGGTACGGGCCACTCGACTCTACGGACTCATCCAAAGGCAGAGCTGAGAGCGAGTGGCGAGTAGGCAGAGGAGTGGTCTGAGGCGAGGAATACGTGAAGCCGAAGCGCTGAAGGACCTGCTGCACCATGTGTGACTGAGTCAGGGTAATGGTGCGGCGTGCTCTGTCCCGGGTGATCTGCAAGCCAAGGTAGCTGCGCAGTTCACCTAGGTCTGTGCACGTGTGTCTCTTCTGCAGCTCGAACTTCACGTGGGTGAGTCCAGAAGTGTCAGCTGTGGCACAGACCAAGTCGTCGACGTACACAAGGATATAGAACGGCGGCAAAGAAGTGTCGGTGCGCAGAAACAATGACGGGTCGGCAGTAGAGGGAGCAATCCCAAGAGCCACAAGTGTAGTCCTCAGTGTCTCGTGCCACTCACGTGGTGCCTTGCGGAGACCGTAGACTGGCCGCCAGAGGCTCCATTGGGTGCCAGGAGGAAAAGTCCCAGTGAACCCAAGTGGGCGGCGCAGCCAGATCTCCTCGTGCAGGCTGCCCTGCAAGAAAGCATTGCTGAAGTCAAGAGAGTGTAGCTCGTAGTCACGGTGAGCAGCTATGTGCAGCAGTACCCGAAGAGTGGTCATCTTCGGGGTGGGAGAGAAGATCTGAAAGTAGTCAACCCCCTGCCGCTGACTGAAGCCACGAGCCACGAAACGCGCCTTGAAGACAGGCGGAGAACCCGACGGCCGCTTCACCCTGAAAATCCACATGCCACTGACGATGTTCGCCCCAGGCGGGGGAACCTCGTCAACGTAGGTGCCTGTGGACTTCCAGGAAGCCATCTCTGCATCCATAGCTGCCTGCCACTGAGAGGAGTAGGGACCCTCTATCGCCTACGCGTAAGAGCGCGGAGTCGGGATGTCAAGTGCATCCGGGTCTCCCTCAGGGGTAAGTAGTAAGGACACCAGCGCCCCAGCGAGGGATCTCTATGGCCTCAGGGAACTGGTGACGCCAGGTGTCCGTCAGGCGGCCAAAGCAGCGCTAGGTGGAGTGAGCACCCCCGCACGGCTCACCCGCGCGGTCGCCGGTGCGCAGGACGGTGCACGGACCAGTACCCCCGCCCCGCTGGCGTGCAGCGTACCACTCACGAAGCTGCTGAGGGGGGGGGATCTCACGAGTGCGCTGCTGTTGCTGGTGCTGCTGCTGCTGCTGGTGCTTCTACTGCTAGCGCTGACCACCACCGGAGCCAACCCTCTGCGTAGCGCCACCCCGACCAGCTCCACCTCCTCCGCCGCCGCCTCCTCCACCGCCGCCACCTCCGCCACCTCCGCTCCCACCGCCACTGCCGCCGCCGCCTCCGCCTCCACTGCCGCCACTGACGCCCCCACCCCCGCCACCACCCCCACCGCCACCCCCACCCCCTCCGCCGCCTCCAGCGCCACCTCCACCGCCCCCGCTAGCTCCTCCAGCGCCCCTGCCCCCCTTGCCCTTGCCAGTGCGGCGTCTCCCGCTAGGGGCAGACGCCGCACCGACCGACTCAAGTCCAACGAGGTCGGCCGCAGCAGCAGAGGCAACCGAGGGCAAGAGAGGAGAGGGGGGGCACCCCGGAAAGACAGGGGCACGAGGGTCACCACGAGAGGCTCCTACAGCGAATATGCTCTTCTCTGCTGCTAGGAGGTGCTCCTCGAGGAGGTCAACGGTGAGGGTGGTGGGGCAAACAGAGAGAAAGTGGTCCCTGACCGGGCGAAGGGTGTCAGGGAGCCGGGAGACTATGTAGTAGAAGGTGATGTACATAGGGGGGGGGGGTTCTTGGCGCAAAACTCAGCGGGAAGAGCAGCGCGGTAGCGAATGTCACTAGTGCGAAGGTGCGTAATGAGGTCAGCAACTATGGGAGAATCAGCAAGGTCAGGGAAGAGGTACGGCAGGATGAGGCGGCTAAGTGCAGCAATGGCAGGGGAAGAGTAGCGTGCAACTAGAGCGTCGTACAAGGTCCTAGCACTCTTGTACTGGCTAAAGTGTGCACGCT